CCACCAAAAAGGCTTTTCAAGTGTTTACTGATCTTATCAAACTAGACAGAGAGTGGACTAGATGAATTTCTCAACTATGCTTTCTTCAATAAATTTGCACAGTTTTATAATCCTTAGTGTTATGACGTATTAAAGTATAGAAGCCATTGAGTCTTTTATCTTTTAATCGATGGATAATCCCCATCTAAGCATTAATGAAAACAAAACACGTAGTTCAGTGAAGAGTCTCTTTTCGGCGAATTCATTTTTCGTATCTGTAGAATCGCAAATATATGTATGGGTTATTTTGTATGCATGTTTACATTATGTTTGTCAAACAAAAATACAATTGGTTACGGTTATTTTAACTAAACAGGCGAGAATTAGTGCGTTTTGGGTGGAATTACATAATTCAAAAACGTTCAAGAAAATCGGGTGTTATTGAAACTACAGTTGTAACAAAGGTGATGAGTTGTCACAAACAGTTTGATGACTGAGCTGTACTCAGGATACACATAGGAACAAAGTAGAGAGAATGCGAAATTAGGCAAGAGTTCCAAATGAATACAAGAATTATAAGCAATTAAAGAAACAGGGAAACAAACAAAATCAAGTCATCAAAAATCAACAAAGTTGTGACCATGATAATAGAAGTGGTTGAGTAGTTCTCTTTTATGTGCGGGGCCCCGGTTTTTTTATGTAAATGGCTAGAGCTTCAGCAATACAAAGAAAACGAAACCGTATTGCCTTAGGTAGGTTATTCTTGACTCTGTAGATTACTTTGAAGGAGGCATTTGTTGAGATGGAATGATCAGTGTTAACCAGGTGTCCAGATAACGCACTCCTTATTAGTGCCACTATTGCCTTTTCGCGACCATGCTTGAATCCTCTTGAACAGGATGCGCGTCGACAAACAGATGTACCTGGCTCCACAGCAGCAGGTGAAGTGATATATGTCCTTAAGGCTTCTGCAGACCAATGGGCGACTGGAGAACACTATTCTTAGCGCTGTGCAAAGAATATTCTTCTCAGCGATGACGTGATCCTTCTCTTGAGAATATCACTTGTTAAATCTCCCTTGAAATTCAAGTTCACCTAAATTATCTCTTTTGAAGCTTTTCCCTAAGTTTAATTCACGTATTCTCCATTATTTCACATGCATTTCACATTCATCGTAACATTTTGCAATCGATGTTCAGCTGCGCTTTCTGTTCCTGTTTCGTTAAGTAACAATCTAAAAAAGGATGTCTTCCTTTTTTATGCTTTTTATACCTATCCTTTATTGCACTGATTTAATTGTTTCCTTCATGAATAGTGTTGAAAAGAAAATCCTTTTGTTTTGTAAAAAAAAACCTTATAATAAACCTGTGCATGTACTTTTTCTCAATGTGAAAATAAATTTGTCGAAAGTACTACACCCTGGAATAACGAACTAACTAACTAACTAACTGTTCAGTAATTCGATTGTTTCAATGATTAATTTCTTCTTTTACGAAAACTTAAAATATATAGAAAACACGCTTTAATTTTTTTTGTCACTCCTATCATATACTCTCTGTAGTAGGTGGTAGTAAGTAGGCTTATTTTCTTCTAAGATTTTGCCTTTTATTTTTATAAAAACATTATTTTATCGAAGCTTTAAATACTTTCTTTCAAGAGTAAGTAAGTTAGAAAAGTCAAATAATTGTACTGTAATTGTAAGGAATAGTTCTACTGAAGTTGGCATTATTTGCCTGAGGAGAGAAAAAAACAGCAACTGTGACCTCTACTGACCTTCAGTGAAGTGTTATGCTGTCTTGTTTTGCTTTCCTTCTCTACTTCTCTTCTTCTAAGTATCATTTATTATGTTGTAAACACATTTTGTAGCGTAGTTTGTTGTGTATGGCATTCCTTTCTTGTCAAGTTATTGTACTTCATTCACACTTATCGATTTGCCTTATTGAATTAGGTCATCTAGATCACTTGATTCTTTTTCTGCTTCTCTTTTTTCTTCAAAAAAGGCCTTTTTTTTGTAATATAGTTATTTATGATTTCAAAGTTTTAGGCATCTACACTACTTTTATTAGTAGTAAGTAGTATTCTTTTATTCAGCTGTATTTTAATGTTGTTATTTAAAAAAATGATAATCTTAGCTTCGTAAATTATCAGAAAGCTATATGAAGACGCCATATGTCAGGTGATTCACAGTGGAAAAGTTAGCTATGTCTTTGAAGTGCAGGCACGAGTGCAGGACAAGACTGCCTACTATTAGTGATGTTATTCCTGACTGTGGTGGACTGGATCATGCGGTAGGCTGCGGGGAGCGAGAAGACAGGAATATGTTGGACCGATGAGGAGACCCTGAAAGATCTACACTTCGCCGATGATTTGTGTCCAACTCAAGACCTACAGGCAGAAGAGGCTGGCAGTGAAGACAGGACTTCAAGTGAACATAGAAAAATAGAGGTGATGAAGATAATCAACCACCTAGCCGCAACAAGTACCAGTCACTATCATGGAATTCACTTTACCTATGCTGAATCGTTTCAAGTATGGACGAAGACGTCACAGAGAGGCTTGGAAATCAATGTGGAAATCTTCTGCACTCTGTATGAAGAGCAAGATTCGGATTTTCAACACTAATATCAAGTCAGTTCATCTGCATTGTTCAAGGATTTGTTGCATTATCATAGGCTTTTCAAACAGGCTGGTGCACACTTTTATCAACAAATGCCTTCTCTGATTCGGTAGTGAAGACCACAAATCGCCAGAAAGGATTGGAAGTCTGTCAAAGAGCCAACCAGGAACCTGTTGTCCAGTAAATATGTTGAAGAAAAATGGAAATGTGTCGTACACACTTTGAGGAATGAGTGAGTGACACTACTTGCTGTGCATGCCCGAACGGGAAACACTGAGTTGTACGTCCGTCTAACGGTGACATAAAGGAAAAAGAAATGAGAGTCTATAGGCAATCGTCAAGCTAGTTGAAGCAGACTGCAGAGAGCAAAATGGAATGGAGTTGTTCTGTTGAAGCTATATGTTCCACTTGAAACCCAAGGAAACAATAGGCATAATAATGTGCTGAATTCGGAAAGGTAAGTTTCGTTATCAGATGGAGAGATCTTTTAAGGAATCGATGATACCAAAATAAAAACTGTATGTTTAGGACTTTTTTCAACAATTTATGAGATGCGTTTTCAATGTTTAAAGTTAAAATTAAAACCGTCTTGTTTCTCAAACATCACCTTACCAGTCAACTAATAATGAGATCTACCTTTATTCTCTTTAATCAATCAGTTTGTAGGCGAATTTCACTACCCCTTTTTCTCTAATTATTCTCAAAGTGATTGACCGTGAAGCTTAAGACTTTGTATAATAAAACTTCAAAAAATCAGTCATTAATTGTAACTTTTGTGTTTCTTTTTTGCTGCTTTTCATTTGAAACACCTGAACAAAAGAGTTTATCTGAATTGCATTCAACTTGATAGACAACATATTTAATGAAAATAGTGTTGGATATCTTTTGGGAAAATTTAATCTAATATATATATATATATATTTATTTCGAAAATGTTGATGTTTGAATACAACAGCGTACGCCTCCCTGTCTTTCACGAATTCATGTTTATTGTAGTGTTTGTCCAATTAGCCGGACAACTGAATAACTTTCTCCATTTATGGTTGAATATTATTGACTTTCAGCTCAATTTTGATTTTCCCGTTCATTGATTGGGCCGGAATGTTTGGCCTGTGTTGACATGCTGGCTACTTGTCAGGGATGCTTCGACGATGTCTGAGGATGGCCTTTGAAACGATGGGTACTGGGCTCGAGCCTCAGTGGGAGCACCTTAACTCACCGCAGTTATTCATGTAGATCTAGACGACGAGTCCCAATTAGAAGGAAATTCGTATCCTGGATTTCGGTGGTAGTCACCGTCCACCAAATTGCTTTATGGTTAAATATTCTTAACTATTTGAACGCTTATTTCTCTTTGGAGATTAAGCTAAAATTTTTAAGTATTGGTTTTGTAGGGATTTTTGTTTGATTGGATGGAGGATTTCATCATGAGCTGACATCAGTTAGAGAACCATTGGAAAACGAGCTGGGAGTACTGGACAGTTGTTTTGTCAGCCTAGTTTGAGACTCTTCGTCAGTACGCACCCACACTGTGGGATTCGAACCCAGAACCTTCTGGTTACAAGGCTAGAGAGCTCGTAGACCATTGAGCCACTGGGACGCGATCCTATGGTCCTTGAATTCTAACTTCTGCCAATTCACGACATAGCGCGACCATTTCGCAATGACTTCTTTATTTAGGCAGTTAACCTGGGGTTCTAGTAGGAAGCCGTGACCAGTAGGGTACAGCAGGTTAAAGATGAGGCAGTAACTCATCGAATAAGACATTGCGAAATGGTCGCGCTATGTTGTGAATTGGCAGAAGTTAGAATTCAAGGACCGTTGGATTGGGTCCCAGTGACTCAATGGTCTACGAACTCGCTGGCGTTGTAACGAGAAGGTCCTGCGTTCGAACCCCTGTGGTGGGTGCGTACTGATGAAGAGCCTCAAACTAGGGCGAAGCAGCTGTCCAGTACTCCCAGCTTGTTTTCCAATGGTTCTCTAGCTGATGTCAGCTCATGATGAAATCCTCCATACAATCAAACAAAACGTTTAGGTATTGTGAGTGCAATTCAACTACATTAAGTGTTTGCAGTTGAATGCCCATGAAACTAATTCATCATTTTACTGAAAATGATTTCCAGTTATCGCGCCTTAGTGTCTTCCAAATTATTCTCAGTAAATGTTGACACTTTATACGAATGGTGAAGTTCAATAGATTTTTTAACAATATGTAATACACAAAGAATGTTTCAGTCATTTACAGTTTTGCAATGAATAATAGTGAAAGATGAAATAAAAACAATGGGATTCGATTCGAACAAACAGTCACACTGAATTTACTCGTCCGACCTGATATTTCTCAGACGTTACCACTAAAAATCATTTTTCTCTTATTTCTTCTCTCTCTCTCTTTTTCTTATAGCTGGAGAATCTAACAGTTGTATTGTGAAAGGATTTCTTTCACGTAAATGCAAAAAGAAGTCCTCGTCAACTGTAAACAGTAAACACCCATCTGTTTTAAGCTCTGACTCATCTGATGCTCCTATGGCAAGTCATGAATCCATTATTATGACTGCTTATCTACCTAAGGAAGATGGTGTCATCATACCGGGGGCCAAAAATGATACACGAAACAACAGTAACAAGGCAATAGTTGGCAAATCAAATGGTGAGGATAAAACAGATGCCAGAAAATCAACAGATAAAGCTGTACTGCCCGATGGTGAAGGTGCAACTCACAATGAAGTACCAAGTCGTAAGTTATCATTATTATTATTATTCCCTTGAGTTCCAAGTGGAACATAAGGCCCCAACAACACATGTCCACTCTCTTCTATTTTCTACTGTCCTCTGGGTCCTTCTGGGTCCACGGTTTCCCATAATCTTTCATCTCCTCTACGCACCATCATCTCCTCCATGTCACCCTCATACCAACGACCCACTCGTCGCTTCCCATTGGGGTTCCTTTTTGAGCGACGGTGTCCTCAACGTATACCCGATCCACCTCCTTTTTCTCACATATTTGTTGAGCTATTTGCTCTTGGTTAGTTTGTTGCCAGTCAGAGTTTCTTGTTGCTAATTCCTTCTGGCCGGCAGACTGACCATTCAATCTCCAGTATAGAGCCAGCGAAAGCAGCTGTTGATAAAAAGTCTGCAGTAGCCTGTTGGAAATCCTTTTTGTGACACACAGTGCAAGTTTCTGACCTGTAAAGAACAACTGACTGACTGACTTCACATTTGCAAACTGGTTTCAGGTTGATGAAAGCGTATCTTGCCTTTCCAATTCTGGCTACCTTTGAAATCTTCATCCATTCTGCCTGTGGTTGAAATGATACTTCCTAGATAAGTGAAGGAAGTGACCTCTTTCAAATCTCTCCCGTCGAAGATGATTGGTGCTGGTTGTTGTTGTTGGTGGTGTTGCGGTTCGTTGGTTATCTTCATCGCTTTTGTCCTCTCTATGTTCACCTGCAGTCCTGTCTTCGCTGACTACCAGTCTGTTCAACCAGTTTGTTGGTTTTTTCCTGCAAGTCTTTTAGTTTTTGTAACATTGAGCATAAATAATCTTCTAGAATCTTCTTATCGGTTCAACATATTCTTATCTTCTCACACCCCCGACTCACAGTCTGATGCATCATTCAGTCCACCACAGTTACGAATATCGTCAGTGATAGTAGACAGGCAGTCTTGTCTTACTCGTGTATTCACTTCGAGTGCCTCTCTAAGTTTCCGGTTGTGGATCACCCGATTTTTGGCGCTGTCATATAGCGAGCTGTTGAATGAAGTGGATAAAGACTTGGGCACTGTACGCCATAGTGTCGAAGCTGTTTCCAAATTACCCGGTCAACGTTGTACGTTATCATCATAGAAATGCTTATTAAGTGTAGTAAGATATGAATGCTGAGAAATCTAAGTTACCTGAATTCGAACTGTCCAGGGTATAATTGAAGATTTAATACTGTCGGTATTTCATATTTGATTTTAATGACTCTGTTACCATGGCGAATACTAGTAAAAGTTTGTTCACGTGCAGGAAAGATGAGAAAATTAAAAATAGAGATTAACTAACATTAGATAATATGCAAATGTTTATTCTTTATTTCTGTGAATGTTAACAAACCTAAAAGTTTAAAAAATGGTGACATTTACGAGATATATATATATATTCCTGACACAATTGATTTGTAGGCATAATTAAAGTACCTAAGACTTTGTCTAATGAATCTATGAATTTCAAAATATTCTACTGCGTAAACACCACGGCAACTGCCGTTTTTATTGGCACAACTTATTGCTTAAATCGAAAGAATGCACTGACCTTTTTGCTTTAATTACCTAGTGTGATACTTATCCCTACCATTTGATATTGTGTAGTATTAAGCACTCTCCTGAAATATCGCTCCAGTACAAAGGGCGTCAGGTTTCAGCATTTTTGTATGGCGGAGGCGTTGTCAATTCTTCAACACAACCCCGAACTCTGTATGCAAAAAGTGTCTGTGCAGTCTCTTATTCCACCATGATCTTAACCTCTTCATTAGTCGTCCTCTGTACATTTTTTTAATTTTTAAATAATACTTCGCTTTTATTTTAAGAATTAATTCACTATTACCACTCTCACATGTTCCTTTTGTACGTTTTCGCACCCTCTTCACACTTGTTGAATGGATACTCAACTACCACCTTTCTTCTCACTCAATAACAGTTTTAACCTCATCAAGTTTCTAGAGCTTTCTTCCTTTGTGTCGTTGAGTATTACATAATTTATAACTTTTATTTTTAATTTCGAAGCCACTTTTAAGTAATTATATCAATTATATCACCTCTGCTACTCAATAATGGACTACTATATATTTTTGGTGAATATAAATACGACCGCACAGCTTCTGAAGGAGGTTTCGTCGATAGAGAAAATTTTCTCCGCCGAAGTGTCTTTTATTTCCTCCAGTTTACTTTAATTATGAAGAAGACAGTCCTACTGAAGGAGGTAGCCAGCTAATTGCCAGTGTACTCAAACTGACAACTTGGAAGTACTTTTGACAAGTTTTAAAAAAATTATGACTTCAAAACTGATATGCGTTGAAAGCTGTGTTGAAATATAGAAAGTCAAACGGTTGACTGACTATAACTGAGTGAATTTCAACATAGAACTTTGCAGAAAAAAGGCAGTATTTTAAGCTGCCATATTCCATGTAGCTCACAAAGGTGTAGACTAAGGCGAGCAAAAAAAAGAGATTCAAAAGGTCTGCTATAATAAACAGAAATGTAAGGCATACAGAACAGTAGCATGAGAAAACATTAAGGTTCAATAGATATGGAAGGTCAAAAAGACTGAATGCATCTGCACCATCAAGAACGATTTTGAACCAAATCTCCAATAGTCTTTATGCATTGGATTTTAGAATCTCGACGACCCCCCAATCAGGCAGTGTACACCTCCCTAACAATTGCCAAAGATTTCATGGACTGATGTCAGGTTTTGAGTTGACCTCCAACTCTTTTTCCAGCCTGATTCTATGTCAACCAACATTTCCTGTCGAGGATGGCGATAGTTCGGCTTACGCAACACGTCTACTGTTCATCTCAGTCAATTCACCTTCACCAACTCATTAGTTAATTTGCCTTCTTAACCTAACGCTCTACGTCTGACCTCAATATTACTTATCGTATTATACCAATTAACAATGGAGATAAAACGTAAAAATTTGTGTTCGAGGACAGCTAGCCTTTCTATATCTTCCATACACACATACACCCTTTGATCGATAGCCGAATATCACGTCTGCTCTAGAAAACAAATGGACATCATTTCTTTGCTTTTATTTTTTGAAGCTTCACAGTTCTGCATCCCTAAGGATATCCCTCACGTCATGTAAAGTGAAAGTCAGCGAAACTGAACTTCTAACCGGTATTAGAAACCTTTGAATTCACCGTCTCCGCCTTTGACAACTCACCCTCCGTCATTCTAACTGTGTTCAGACTCTTATAAGGCGACTACTTTAAGAGGATGTATCAGACAATCGGAACAATGTAAAGCCTTACACGTCGAAAGTGTAACGTTTTAAGCAAGAAAAAACAACAGCAACATAATTTAGCATTATCTTTTTTTTTTCTACAACATTCAGACGAACGATTTTTTTCTATCTTTCCAGAATACCCTCTAGTAATAAATTCTCGAAGACTAGTGTTTACACACAGACTAGACAATAAAATGCAACTATGCATAGGTTGCCTCAACTCCTCTTTTTAGCAAGAAATAAGTTGGTTTTGTGTTTCAATGCATTTATGAACAATCAGAATCTAGAGAGCTTTTTAGAAACATTATAATTATATTGCTCATTACATAATTACATATTACCAATGTAAAGATCATGTGTTGTGTTGTTCTTGGAACAAGTGGGTTTATAATAAATGATAGACAGTACCAATACTATTAGTACTCCTTTACCTTGATAAGAGAGTAATCCTTCTAACTTTTTTTTGGATTATGGCTTGATTCCACACAGTATTTTTGATACAAGTATGGAATTTTCAGCATGTGATATCGGTAGCCCAAAGTTTTCAGGCCAACCATTGATATCAGGTGTGCCTTGACAGGGGATCGAGCCCCGGACCATGTGCATGATCGGCGAGAGTCCTAACCTCTGTGCCACCGACGCACTTGTTGATTATCTACTGAAATTCGCTATGGTTTTTAACTTAAATGCTTCACAGTGAATGAGATGGTTCATTTCACTTAGTTCATAAGAAAAACAAAATACGGTTGAGGAGAAGAAAAAAGTTATCGTTTCGATAAACTCATCAACTATACCGCACATTCATAAATATACAATAAAGAGGGTTTATGAAGTTCCCTGAATTGCATTCGAACAGACGTTAAAAAATATAGTGAATAACAATATAAAGTTACTCATAGCTGTGGAGCATTGGCCATTGAGAAATTCATGCCAACACAACATATTCAAGAGAAGTACGTTCAACCTTCATCTCTACCATGGCCGGCATTATCAGTCCTTTTTCTCAAAACAATCATTCTTGTCTATGTGCACTGTCTGAACTTTCTATGTTATTTGTTTATTTAAAAAAGCTTTTAATCCTTATTTGTATTACGAAACTTCATCTTGTTATCCGCTACGTTTTCACCTCTGACCGGGAATAATTCCGAAACTTCCTCCCCTCCTTTGCTATATATTGATGACTGTACAACCTTATTAAAATGGAAACTTTTGTGTATTATGTATACCAGAAGATGAGCCACACAAAATTTCATAGTTTGCGCGAGGGCTGCGATACTTCCGGGACGCCCAGATCGAAGCGGGTGGTTGTTTTAAGAGGCCAACCTCCGAGCCTTTGATCTGAAGTCTGATTCGATAGGTAGTGGATTAGCGTCAGAAACTACGTTCCCTTGGTTGATGGTGACCTAAACAGGTTCATAAGCCACTCAGTACTTTAGGATTCTACAGTCGATCTACACCATCAGTTTAGAATCACGGTTTCCTGACTCCCCTAGGTAGACGTGCGTGTTCAACAGTCCTGTTGTAAGCGCCAGGCATTCGAAGGGCACCCCTGCCACGTGAAGGCAGTGAATGTGACTTACCCTAGAAGAGTCTTTGAACGCGTGGCCGCCTGAGAACATTTCGAGAGGAAGACCGAAGTATACCCACTCTCGGCCGTATCAAATTGTTTATGGGTCGTTCATGTTAACTCCGTCGAAATGGAGAACTTTTTCTTTTCCTCAAGTGTCTCTTCAGTTATAAAATC